AAAATGGGTATTGCATGATATAGATTGTAGAGTTTTTTATTCAAGATAATATTAGTAGTGGTAAGGTATAAAGACAACGTTATAATTTACACATGTATATGACAATGGGTATTTCATGATATACATGTAGATTGTAGAGTTTTTTATCCAAGATAATATTAGTAGTGGTAAGGTATAAAGACATCATGTTATAAAGGACACATGTATATGACAATGGGTATAGTGCATAATGTAGATTGTAGAGATAAACAGATAAGATAAGTAATAATAATAAGTTAGCAAGGCAATATGTTAGTAGAATAGTACATAAATCTCAGTGCAACGGACGGATACAATAAGGACTTAAATTAAAGAAAAGTTCCAGATCCAACTTGTTGTATCATAATGCTTGCTACACCAGCACTTATTATTTAGGTCTACTATTGCACATAATCGTTATTTTTGTGGCATGAAAAGGAATCAGAATGCCGGATTAAAGTATGCAGAGGAACGCCAGAGGTATCCCGTAATACACAGCGCCGTAAATGCTTTCGGGAGCTTTGGGGAGGAGAGAGGGGGGGGGGGTTTTGTCTAACTTCCTGATCCAGTTTCCAATATAGTTTTTATTTCCAAGCACATGGTATTTAATACTCGTAATCCCCACCTTGTGTTACAAGTTGTTTCGATGCATGTTTTATTGATGACACCAAGTTTTCTCGGAAATTTTACCGGTACTGAAAATGGAACAACCAAAAGTTTCACTTTTTAGTTCCAGGTTTTAGTTTTTAGTCATTATTAAGATCAGTTACTGTTAATTTTAGTGCGAGGTTCAGATGAATCCAGAATCCCATGCAGAGAAGATGGCGACGAGCTCATTGTTTCTAAGCAAAATGAGAAAGTATTCTATAAGTAGCGTTTATTTATTTATTAGTAATCAAGAGTAGTAACGATGATAATGCTACAACGTTGACAACACCAAAACTATAGTACGTCTAATCTCAGTGGTGTGGGATGCAGCGTGTTCATCATCTTTAGAATCATTACATATGCATGGCAGGAAGTTCGGCCAGCTGGTACAAAGAAACAGATGAAAAAATCAACTACACCAAGCTTTGTAGGTTATTAGTCGATGGAGGCACACGAGCAGTTCGTTGTGTATTTGATGGCATACATACACCAGCTTTATTGAAAGCTGCCTTAATTACTAACAAGACAACACTACAAAAGCTGAAGAAACCAAAAGGGAGAGTATTGAATAACGAGCAATGGGACAAACTGTATCCACCAAGTGGGAGCAGTCCTATATCTGAAGATTTTGATATCACTTTACTGTTTGTTCTTCTAAGAAACATTTGTGGACTTACAGCACCAGCAACTGGATGGGATGTCTTACCACCGATAACAGATAACTCAATAGAGGCTAACCTAGCCAGGATAAAGTACTACAGGAACAATACAATAGCACACAAACCAAATACTGAAATAAATGATGCTGACTTTGAAAAACACTGGCAAGATATTTCATCTGCCCTACTGTCACTGGGTCTGAGGCAAGAGGACATTGATGATTTGAAGTCTGCTCCTTTGGGAGAGAAAGGCTACAACCAGTTACTCTATGACTGGTTTATATCAGATAAGGACATCAAAACACAGCTTGTGGATCTGAAGCTAGCCACAGAAGAAATCAAGTCAGACACAACTTTGATACGTGCCATCAAAGATGACATCAGTGAATTGAAGGGCCTTTTAGTACACGAGCAAAATCAACAAATTGCGAAACTCGCCAAGGAAGAATTCAGTAAATTAATTGAGTCTTTGTGCACGTACTTTTACCCAAACACTCGTCAGTGGATTTTAGATCAAATCAAGTCCCATGTTGACTGTGACCAACCAGAATCATGTGCATTGCAGATCACGGCTGGTCCAGGTATGGGTAAGTCAGTCATTGCTGCTAAGACTTGCCAGATGTACAAGAATCGTGGGTGTCTTGCAGGATGTCACTTCTTTCAGTTTAGTAATTCTACGAGAAACAATCCAAGGTTGATGTTGCAGTCCATTGCAAGACAGATGTGCGACACTATTCCTGGTTATCGAAAGGCCTTAGAAAGCAAGTTGCGAACAGATCTTGGGAGAAATATTTCAGAATTAAAGTGTGAAGAACTGTTCACCGTGTTGTTTGAAGAGCCACTGCAGAAGCTCCAGCTTGCTGACTTGAATTTTGTTATCGTTTTGGATGCCATAGATGAGTGCTGTAGTCAATGGAAATATGAATTACAAGAAGTGCTAAGAAACAAATTATCGCTTTTACCTTCATGGATACGATGCATTCTTACCACCAGACCACCACCAAGTTTCTCTGCCCTTGCAGAGGCTAAAACCATCTTTATTAGCCCGTGCGACTCGGAAAACAAACGGGACCTTTCGATTTATCTCGATGCTAATTTGAAAAAGTTGTATGGAGACGTCGAAGAGAATTCGTCTGTCACAGAAGAACTTTTGGAAACTTCGAAAGGGTTGTTCTTGGTAGCCTTCTTTGTCTTAGATTATCTGCGAAAACAGAAAGTTGTTGAACCGTCTAATGTCAAGAAAATCTTTCTCAATGGACTCTCTTCTGTTTATGAAAGATACTTTAAGCGTATCAAAGAGGAAATTATGCCCTACATTGCTGAAGAAGAGAGCTTCTACAAGATGCTCGAGGCAGTTGTCGCATCAAGGTTTCCACTTCCTATTCAAATGTTCTACAGTATCTTAGGTCTTAAGCCTGACCGTGATATCCCTCGCGCAGAAAGGAAAGCAAAGAAAGATGCGTTGAACTCTCTTCATTCGTTGTTTCCTGTTGAAAACGACAATGTAACAGCATTTCACAAGTCAGTTGTTGATTGGTTGACTTTTCGAGAAGATGAAGAACACGACTTCAGTGTTCGTGTAGAAGACGGGAATAAAGTACTTGTCAATCAGTGTTACGATGTACTGAGTGACATACGACATGGAGAAAAGAATCTGAATAAACCGTTGAGTCTTACAGACAGTGAGAAATACGTCTTAGGGTTTTTGACGAGTCAAGAGAGTTACAGTTTCGAATATGAAAAGCCTGAGATGCTGGAGACATATTTTATCTTAAGCGCATTTCTATGCTATGAAGGAGAGTACGGACCTTTTTGTGAAACTTGTACAATACCTGCACTTTCAGACAAATTTAATCACATCTATCGCCAGGCTAAGCTGTCTTCTTTAATGTGTCTTGGGGATCCTAAAGCAGGTTCAAACGTTTCCAACTATTTCCATGTTTCCAACTTTGCACTTGCCTTGGAGTTTTGCCTCCATGCAGCAAATCTGTTTGGCGCTAGAGAAACGAATATTAGTATGTCCTCCAAGCCAATTGACTTGCTTAAGCAGTACCAGTTGACTTATTTCGACGTGGAAAAACTACCCATTCCAACACAAGAAGAACGAGGATCTACCTTTGAAGTTGTTGCAAGTATAAACGGATTTCTCCTGGTAGAAAAAGGAAAGCAAAAAACCGTATTAATGAATTATCAACTGGATGGAAAATGCTTGGGTGCAAAATGCTTTCCTGGAGAAGTGAACGTTCTTATGTCTCCTAACTACCGTTTCGCGGTGGTTGTTGACGCTCGAATACATGAAGTGATAGATATGAAGACATTGGAACTGGTAACGAGCTACGAATGGCCCAGTGTCATCAAATCATGTCACGTGTTTGGTGATCAGCCTTGGTATATTGTAGTTAGTTTACTAAATGGCAAAACCCACGTCATACACGGAGAAACATGCCGACCTCAACAAACAACAAAAGGCGATTATTTGGAAGATATAGATGTAATTTGCGTCGGTTATTCTGGTCATTTCGTACTGAGACATTATATGGACAAATTCCTCAAACGCGCTGCTGAAACATCAAATGCTGATGGAACTAAACTCAAACTGTATTACCGTAAATTTTATTTAAGTCACTTCACACATCCCAACTACCTTCCCAAGGAAATACGTTACAAATGGCATGCCGAAATCGGAGGAGGCTTGACGTTTTCTAGCGATGGCCTATTTCTTGCATTCTTCTGGTACGATTCAATTTTTGTTGTCAGAACATTAGACGGTTCACTTCATAAGCGAGTATGGTTGTCTCGTAGCATGGCAATTCACGACGCTAAATTTTTGCTCGTCTCTGAGGCATTAATTATCCTACACTTTTTCACTAGTCTTCTGGGAGCCGTTGTTGTGATCAGTTTAAAAACCAGTGAAATTAAGCACATGTTTTGTGTTCCTCAAGACATTGGGAACCTTCATGTTATACCACCAAGACAAGGAGAACAACTGACCTTGCTAACGGATTACGACGAGGAAAGCAAATGCATATCAAAATACGTGTTCCAAAATTTAGATATGTAGGACGTCTCTTACCTCTGCGCTTCAGCATTTGATTTCACCTGAGATGATTGACTCTATTTCTGACTCCGAGGGCTTTTTCAATTTCTGTTTTCTCCTTCCTCATCTCAATTAAACGTACCCTAGTTAACTCAAACTGAGCTGTGCTCTTGGGTCTTTATGGACTGTGTAGCGGTACTGCGCTTTCACATTGCTTTTAGTTCGACGCGATGGTGAATAGCGATATTTTTCTCTTTTTCTTCAATAACTGATGATGTCAATAACTGAAGAGAGAATTGAAAGCGCGTAAATATAATTGGTCATAAAAAGGATTTGACTCAATACGTCCAATACCAATAACATTGTAGAACAACGCAGCTTTAAATGATCTTTTGCTTAAAAATAGTGGCGCCTATGTTGTCCAGTGCTACAAATACCCAATATTCCAAATTCCTTTTACTATTATTTTTTTTAAAACACGCTCTGCAATTTTCCTTGACGCCGACAATAGAATAAAGGCCCAAAGAAAATTGGAGCGTGCATCGCGCGCAGGGTACACGACTTGGCGCAACGCAATCGAATTAGCCGTTTACCTTGGATGTATTGTAATAGACGCCGTCTCCAAGTATATTTCAAGTTTAAATCAGCAATGGAAATTTATTTTCATTTGAAACTACATTTTTAAGTTCGAAGTTACTGTACAAAGAACAGACAAAATAAGACTATGAATGACATTTTTATTAGATTTGTTACTGTTGCCTGTTAAAAAGATTATCGTATGTCCGTAATTTTGCTATCACAAAATCTTGTTGAATAAAGTGATTTTTGAATAAACGGCGCAGCTGGATCACGAGAAATTAAATAAACGCCGCGGCGTCTATTCGAGTAAATACGGTATACTTAGCAGTTATTCGCCGAAGGCGAAGTGAATATCGGGAATATTCACTGAGCCTGAGGATTGTTTTAGCATATACAAACTTGTGTACAGAGTAACTTATTTTTATATACAATAATTCAATAAAAACAAACAAACAGAGACTTGCAGTTTGCGTGACAAATTCACGCAAAACTTATAGCAAAACTTTTAGGCCATACTTCGTTGCCTTTTTAGTATTGTTAGGAATGGCATTTACTTACTTTCTTGTCGGCAGATGCCATTTTGTTGCCGACTCAATATTCCGAGATTCAGAGGTGAATATCGTACAATATTCGCCTCCAATTAACCAATGAGCGCGCGCGTTCTTAGGAAGTACACAAACTGGTATATGCTAATATTGCGTGGACTACCTGTGGAGCCCCTCCCCTCCCCTCCCCCAAAAAGAAAATCGTAGGCAAGGATACAAAATGGCCGTGAAAGAGGGTGTTTGACATGTTCGTAAGACTTCTTCTTTAATTTATTATCGATTATCTTGTTATGCTTTGGTTTAAGACTTAAAAGTCTTGGGACACTAAGAAAAGATAACTAATTGGTAAGTTTTTAAAAAAGTTCTTTCTATTTTCAAAGCTTTTTTTCCTTTTTTTGGGTGAAAACTAGTTATTCCTTCTGATAAAATAACAACTTGTAACGATTTAAAGAAGAAAGAACACAGCTACTAGAAAGGTAAACGTGTTGCTTTTATTTGCAGACTACTATAAGAGACGCAAAACAGCACTAGCAGTAATGGGTGAAAAGAGTCTTCGGATCAACAAGTGTAAGTGAAATTTTCACTTGTCTAGCATTCTTGTCATAGTTGTCTTTTTGGATACTATTAGTATTAGTATATGGTAAACGTAAAAAATCGTTGGCTAACTTTTGGGTAGTTTAATAGGCCACAACATTTGGAAAAAAAAACATATGATAATGTATTTTTAATTTTATGTTTTCATGCCCCAAACATACTCCAAATTAGACTTTTTCCAGGAAAAAAAAGGAATTTTCATAGTTCTCTATAATCTGGAAAAAAGTCAGTTACTTAAGGTTTTTAAAAAGTGTTTGTTATACATAGTCTTTGTAATAATGAGATATATTATTATGCATTTTACTAACTATCTTGCTTCTGATTGGCCGAGAGCTCTCGACCAATCCATGATATCATGTGAACTAGACATCATGAATGTACTAGGTTTTTCTAGGAATAATGCATTTATCATGTCAAGTTCATTCAAAGTCACAATGAAAATTTAAATAGTTGTTTGCTATTTTTTCAATAAGCAGGAATAACTCTTCATTCCTAGTTTACAAAAATTAGTAGATAAGCAATAATTGAATTTAGTTTTTGCATGATATTGTAAATTATCAAGATCTTGGCTGTTTTACCTGCTCTAGCTTAAAGTTTTGGCAGATAACACAGTTTTGGTCTTGATAATCACTGATAACATTGCTCAACCTCATTCAATAAATGTTTAATTGTCTGTGAATGTATGTGGACGTGCAAAAGTTAGCATGTCGTAATAATTCAATTTGCCTTCTGATTTTGTCTGCTTGCATGTATATATAAGTTTAAAGCTTTTCTTCTTTGTTGATTTATTGCAGCCTTGTCACTGACTGTAAAGGGTCTTTCTTTGCTAGCTCTGCATGCAATCTTGAGTTTTATGCTGTCTGCATTTACAGTCCTTTGACTAAACGTTGTCGTTGATCGGATCATCCCTACGCGCCTAGACCAAAAAGCATAACGGGTAAATTATCCAGAACTTGCATCATCCAAACTGCTTGCCAGTTTAAATCTTCGCCGTATGCTCGAGGCATGGTTTTGGCAAATTAATTGGGATCAAAAACAGCGAGCTCAAGACGTGTTAGATAACATATGCGGCAGCTAGTAACTGTAAATTAATTATCCCCATGATCCTTTTCGGTCTAGGCGCGTAGAGATGAAGCCAATCAAACGACAACGTTTAGTCAAAGGACTGTATCTTCATGTATATTCAAGGACACCCATATTTGCATATACAAATTAAGAAATGGTGCAAAGATACAACCTTTAAATTTTAAAGGATACAAACTTCAAATTTGATCTGTACCCTGAAACAACCTTTGGGATGACCAAATAATATAAAGTCAGCTAGAGTATGGCTAATTCACAGATTAAATTCATGGAATTTAGAGCAGTTAGGATTTGTGGAGAAAGTAAAACCACAGAACCTAAAGAAAAACACTAGAATCAAGGGAGAGACATAACTAATTCAAAGATTATACCAGTCCTGCATGATTAATTCTTATAATCCTTTTACAAAACATTCCTTCACAAATATTAAAGAAAACCATGGGAAAATAAATCCTTAACATTAATTACATATCATACACCAATAGCTGTTATAAGCACAGTTGCATGTTCAAATAATAAACTTTTTTGAATTAAGGAATTGCAATTTAGAGATGTATTTAAGAAATAATAAACTTAAGTATCTATGGGAGCCCTGTGGTTTCATTTTTGTGGAGCATTTTTAATTTACCTTGATTTCATGGTGAATATTGTCTAATAAAGATCATGTCTGCAGTTTATTGAACAAAAGCTTCAATAATTTACATTCAAACTCAATATTTTTAGATATGCATTATTGAAATAAAATTCATGCCAAAGGAATTGCCACCAAGCTGATAAAAACATTCTGCATTCACACAACTTATCACTTGAATATGGATGACAATTAATTGCAACTAAAGTTTAATATGAAGTAAGAAAGTACTGTTGATGATGTCAGTCATAAAGATGGTGCTAATAGGGGTAAAGAATGTACAAATAGGGAAGATGATGTCAATGATGAAGATGATGCCAATAGGGAAGATGATGCCAAAAGATGAACTACTGAAGAAGATGGCGTCAATTGGGAACATGTTGCCATTGATGAAAATGGTGGCTATAGAGAAGATGATGCAAGTGATGACAATGGTTCCAACAGAAAAGATGATGCAAGTGTTGAAGATGGTGCCAATAGGGAAGATGATGCTAGTGATGACAATGGTTCCAATAGGGAAGATACATGATGCAAAGAGGGGTTATGATGCTACTAATGAAGACTGCACCAATAGAAAATAGATGCCACTGATGATGATAACAATAGGGAAGATGATACAAATGATGAAAATGATACCAATAGGGAAGATAATGCCACACATAAAGGTGCCAATAGAAAAGAGATGCCAGTGATGGAGATGATGCCAATAGGGAAGATGATGCCAGTGATGAAGATGGTGCCAATAGGGAAGATGATACCAGTGATGAATGATGATGTCAATAGGGAAGATGATACCAGTGATGAAGATGGTACCAATAGGGAAGATGATGCCAGTGATGAAGATGGTGCCAATAGGGAAGATGATGCCAGTGATGAAGATGATGCCAATAGGGAAGATGATGCCAGTGATGAAGATGGTACCAATAGGGAAGATGATGCCAGTGATGAAGATGATGCCCAAAGAGAAGATGATACCAGTGATGAAGATGGTGCCAATAAGAAAGATGATACCAGTGATTAAGATGGTACCAATAGGAAAGATGATGGCAATAGGATGATAATGGATGGATGATGTCCGTGATGGATAGTGTGCCAATAGGGAAGATGGTGTCAATAAGAAAGATGATACCAGTGATTAAGATGGTGCCAATAGGAAAGATGATGGCAGTAGGATGATAATGGATGGATGATGTCCGTGATGGATAGTGTGCCAATAGGGAAGATGATGCCAATAGGGTGATGATGGACGGATGATGCCAGTGACGAAGATGGCGCCAATAGGGAAGATGATGCCAATAGGGTGATAATGGATGGATGATGTCAATGATGAAGAAGAAGCCAATGGGAAGATGATGCCAATAATGTGATGATGGACGGATGATACCAGTGATGAAGATGGCGCTAATGGGGAAGATGATGCCAATAGGGTGAAAATGGATGGATGATGTCAGTGATGAAGATTGGGAAACTGATGCTATCAATGATGTGATGACGATGATCCAAATGATGAAGATGAGGCCTGTGATGGGAATATTGCTAGAAAATGAATACTTCTCTTATAGGTACTATTATTGCTAATGACAATCGGTATGGTGATGTTAATTATTATTCTGATAATGCCACTTGATGATATTGATGCGTTTTTAAGACTCTAGTAAGTCCCGATATAGTGCACAGCTGTGCACGTACTGGTAATGGCATATCGGTAGAGCTTGAACTCACGCATCTTAAACTTCTATTGTTGCACATCTTTCAAGAGGATATGAATGTCTTTTGCAAATGATGGACCTCTTGGCTACCTTAACTTGATCCTGCATTCATTTTTTTCAAGGTTATGCTTCAAATATTACGTCGACTTAATGAAATTTCCTTGCCAAATTTCACCTCGCGAACGTCGTATACAGTAACCTTAAACAACAGCATGACTTGTCTACAATTTATCGATAACAGATTTTTTTAGTATGGATCTTGATAAACATTTGATTAAGAAAATAAACGCAAGAATTGCTGGACGTTTCGATGACATCCTGTCATCATTTTCAACAACATTTAATGACAGATCAAGCGTGAATTACTGTATGACAAAATAAATATTTGTACATATTCAAATAAAAAGTTTTGCTTTCACTGAGTCTGATTGGACGTTCAGGGTTGGTCATAAATTAAACAATCAAATTTAGAACGACAACGTTTTAAGATGGTGAATTGTTGTCCTAAGTCCTGCGTGATTTTTTTGCTGCAGTTTTTTTTATTTTCCTTTCCTTGTGATAGCTGTGCATTATATTTTCATTTATTGCATCCCTCTCAGTTTATATATATATATATATTTATTTAGTTTGTCTTTATTTTTCATCGTGTGTGGTCAAGACATATACGCCCCCGTTGATTCATGATTAAAGAAGGATTTATAAATAGTATTTTCTACTTGAAATGTCATGTAACATAGAGTTATATGGTACATTTCTTTCCCATTAAATTGGCGGCCAAGATGCAGGGCTCTCTTAACCATTTGAACAATACTGAGAAAACAGAAAATATACTTTAAAATTATAACAACATGGTTGAAAATGTTTTTGTTTCCATACAGATGCCTTACCATTTCTATTTTAGTTGTAATTCTGTTTTGAACATTCTGTCTGAAAGCGACACTTGATTTCAACTGTTCTAGTCCGTGCTATTCATTGGTCGTCGGTTCGGTCAAAAACTCCAACAGAATTAACGTTAATTGTCAGTTTGCCAAACAAATAGATAGGTTAAAAATACTGTCATTTCTTTTTTCGAAAAAAAAAAATCACTTCTCTTTTGATTGAGAGTTTAATGCAGAAATGCAGTCGAGTTAATTATAAGCAAATTTTTATCAATGAATACCTTTATTAAGTTATTCCTATGGTTTTGATCATATATAGCTTGTATTGGTGGAAAGTTATGACGTCAATTTCTATAGAGTTCTCAAGTCTTCATTGCGATCTGACTGGTTATCTTAACGTACGTTTTTGCCCAAATATGTCAAAATACCTAACCTATCGATTATTAATTTACTGGCTCCGATTGACGTACGATCCACTTATACATCCACGCAACATTGCACTGAGATTTTTTTTCAGTTATTTATAGTTTGTTATATTTAGACACAGAATGTTATTGAAAAAATTCAAAAGATTTCAAAGATACTTGAAGCAAGTCGTGCGTAGACTAAAAGTTAAAAATAATGTGCTCAGCGTTAAAGTATCATACATAGAAAAACTTTTAGTTGTGTGGCAGCCAGCATGTTGTGTCGCGCGTGAAGAAATAGAAAACGCGCGCGCGTGCTGTGTGCAGTCATAAAGCACCCGGGGGTTGCCAGAACACGAGAGAAGTGTTAGGAGAAGCACGACGCGTGCTTTTGGACACTTCTCGAGTGTTCTGCCAATCTCCAAGTGCTTTATAACGGCACACAGCACAGCAAGCAAGCTTTTTATTTCTTTTGTAAAATAGAAATTACAATAACCGAAATTTTAGATAGGAACGACGCAACGGAAAGTGCGCGCACGTGCAATGTGCTCTCATAAAGCACGCGCTCCAAACCAATCAGAACCCGACATTCATAGCAGTTATTTTATAATGAATTTTTCTTTCGGCTTATTGATCATTACCGACTTAATTAGCTGTTTTAAGACTGGAAAAGTGATTGTACACTGTATACATCAACTTAAAATATACCATCCAAAAAGTGGTGCGCAATTTCTGTTGTTGAGTAGCCCACTTGTTTGCGCAGCTAAGGTAGTAATCATCGAGAATTTTTTTTCTTTTTTTCTTTTCTTTCCCTATAAATTTCTACTCAACCAGCCCTTGCCCACCATCTGCCGTAGCCAGGCTCGATCCTGAGGCGATTGTTTCAAGTGTTAAATAAAAACAGCTCAGCATTTTCATGGCTGTCATGCTTGCATCATCCAGTTGCAGGTGGCGATGCCCTTTCCTTTTGTTTTTCGATCGAGCTGTGTCTAACCTTGCTCTCGTTGCCCCGCCGTCAACAAAGACAAACTCAAATAGAACAACCATTTCAACTTTAACTTTTTCTTTGTCTGACATCTTCGGAAATAACCAACTAAACTGCACCACATATGCATCAAATTATTCCAATTTATTTTATACTTCTTATATTTTTTACAATCTTACATTTAAATTTTAACTACTTAGTCATAGTTTATGTTATTATATTACAAAATATACAAATAGAATTAATGGGGTTTTATAAGAATATATTACTGTCCTTTATGTGCTCGTACTTGGTACTTTAGTAATATCCCACTAAATCAGGCGTTTTTCTGTTTACTAGGTCAGAACAATGACACACGGCGACCGGTGCTATATACAATCACTTCTCGTTTCTATTTACCACCATACGTTTAAAATCGGTTGAAGTACGTCTTAACGATTCAACCGACTAATTACTCGAACCAATAACTTGAATAAACTCATTGCTCAGAAGGGCATTCTAATTTTCCGCCATAAGTCATTGGCTTTCGATTGTAAGGTTGACTAGGCTATTTGAATGAAAAAGAATCATATAATGTAATGTGAAGTGGCCTACGTGAGACCGAGATTCGTACTGCACTGCGCTGTACGACCTTATTACTCTTCATCACAAAATCCCCAAACCTTGGACACTGTTATAACATTATGATTGTCTTTTATATCGACTGCGACGAAGATTCCGAACTTTGCGTCTCTAGCGAGCTCCCGTAGTTCTTCTTTCTCCATCGGCGACCTTTGTCTTTACGGAGTTTGCCGGCGTCTAACGCCCTTTCGTGGTGAACCCGCGCCAAATCTTTCGCGCCTTTTACCGCTCGGGTGTCTTCGTCTTTTACCAGCTTTTCTTTAGCTTGTTCCAGTGGTTGATGGTTATAGTAACAGCTAAGCTGTTTTCTAAGTCCTTTCTTGTACATGCTTTCCCATACTGTAGACAGTTCATCATAATACGTTGACGTCTTTTTGTCGTAAGTCACACTGTAGTGACAACTCATTTCTTGTTCCAGCAAGCTCATAGACAAAGGCATTTCCATGTATGAAGAAGCCATCTTTTCTATCCTTCCTTTTGGACACTCTTTTGATTTGTTTTGTTTTTTCTTTTTCTTTTTTTTGTCACCGCGTTAAGCCTATGACTCTAGAATTTACGACTCTTTTTCCCGTTCTCGTTTTTACCTCCCTGATCGACCTGTTTGTTTATGTCGACTTGTTTTTACCATGTGCTTTTATATTTACATCAATGACATAATCTCGCCGAAGTCAGTCGTGACGTACTCGGCTTGAATTTTAAAGCTTCGGTTAAGATCGCCAGGTATTCGCGTGGCGATAATACCTTATACGGACATGCTGTTGAAGCACCTGGCTTCGATGACAGACTAAATGGAGAGTATTCAGAAACGTTTTTATTTTTGTTTTGTGTCAAATAAATTATTCAAGATCCTCGGTTAAGTGGTTAAATGAAGGTCTGTTTAAGACTGAGCAACGTTACAAGTGAAAGTCAACTTCTCCCTTAAATTAAACTTGACTGAATTCTAAATCGTTTCATTCTAAATTTAGTTTAAAGGCAGGAGATTAGGACAAGAAAAGTGTGATGTTTAATAAACGATGGATTATACTTGGCGACGCAGACCATTGTCTGAACATTATTCTAATGACCAGGCTGCATGGGTGACATGATAGGCTATCATTGATCGCCAGTCGAAATGAGGACTTTGGAATTCTTATCAGCGGGAATCAGTTTATCACTCGATTTTCTTTATTGATTTCCGATTCAAATCTTTGACAAACAATACTGGTTTAGATATATATTTCTGTTCCGTCCATATTGCTTTTCCGCAACATGCAGAGAAAATCTCCATTGAACTATGAAGATTCGCCACTAGCTAGTCCTAGTAAGGCTGTTTAGGTTGCTATATGAAATAGTATTCTAGATCTTTGTTAGCAAAAAATAGGAACTGAAGGGTATCAACTCGATAAACGCCCACGAAAGATTGTACCACTTAGTATATACTACGCCGCGACGCAGACACTTGAAACTTGACTTAAGAACTTTAAAATATATTCAACCAATTTAATAAGTATTTCGAATCTTCAGATAAATTGTCTTTGTGATGACCTTAATCTCGAATCCACAAACGTTTTAGAGTTTATTCTTTGTTATTTCAGTATCTTGTCTTGGAAATACGAGCAGCATTCAATACTTTCAATTACCTACAATATATTTCGCTACTAGACTGACCTATGTCCTGTCATACCAAGACAGCTGTGATCGATTGAAATAGATATTTTGATTGATCCTATGTTAAGATACGAACCCTTGCAGCTTCTTTAAGAAGGAACCCCACCTTCGTGTCAACACCCTGCATGATGTTTGGCAAAGCAATATAAGTACTTTAGCATTCTAACCTTTGGAAATAAAATGCTTCTTTGCGAAACCATGCATTTTTTTCCTGTCCTACTATACTCCATGGCTGCAAAAATATCCTGAACATTCTGTTTTACATCCCAGGATAATGACTTGTTGAAAGAGTTAATCCGGTCAATTGGCTTTCAAAATTCTATACAGAAAACAATCCTCATTAAATATATTCTAACTAAATCTATTTTGTAATAAATATCATGATAAATTATATAAATTGAGAAAGATAAACAAATGATAAAATTCTAAAGAAACTAGTTCTTCTGATGTAGAACATGATTAAATACGATTGCTTAACCACAAAATCTTGTTGAAAATATTTTTTAACTTGACTTTGTGTAATCAATGTTCCTAATACATCAAAACATCAGAAGATAAATAAGTTACTTTTGAAGTTTCGCATCGCATTTGTTATTATGCATAGCACTAGATATGTGTATGTGTAATGTACACTACAACCTTTTTTGCAGTCAAGCATATACATACATATATACGTATATTCTTCAATATATCTTTTGAAATTTCTGTAATGTATTCGCCTATAAGACAGAAGAGTTTGTATTAAAGATAACTTCACCTGAGGAGAGACAGCCTTGCGGCTCTCTTGAAACAGCGCTATAGTGAAAAAAATATATTTATTCTAAAATATATATAGATAAAAAGAAATAATCTAACGATTAGAAATTATGCCACTTATGCCAATGTTTTTCCGACAGCCGACCATTTACAAGAATTCCCAAGGATCTCAGTTTGGATGAAAAAAAAAAAAAACAAACAAAGAGTATCAATCCTCTGGAGGTAAGAATTAACTCTCTTTTTATCACTTTTTTAAATCTAATATTTGAGCTCTAATGAGAATTTCTAAGAAGAATGTTCATCGAAGATTGACTACCATCGATGATTGCTTGCCTAAGATAATGTTTTTCCACGGGATTATTGTCTTCCATAAAAATCAAAACACTAGTGGTCTGTTTGAAACCCGGTCTGCTATAATGGCACTTTCAAATAACAATCAAGGTTTTTGACCGACATGTTTTGACTGCGAGAAACAAAAGTCCCAAATTTCAAATATTCTGAGAAAATTTGTGAGCAAAATAGATATTTTATAAAAAGCATTCCTTAGCTATGTAGCATTTTAGTCTTCGTGACAAAATGTGTTCAATATCATTTAGCTATATTTTTGTTCAAAATACCAATACGATGATTGGTGTGGCTATTTTTATCTTGTTTTGAACGAGCACATGACAATATTGGAGTCACATGATCGGCAGGTCACGCGAAGATAAGTGCTTTATTTACAACGCCTCRCATCCTTAGAACAGCGGTCTTGGTTTACACGAAAACATTTCGGAGCAAGACATTGAATCGTTCGCATGGTAGCCGGGTCAGTTGTTGTTAACTAAAGGTAGTAATCCCGCTGGTCTTTCCAATATCAATACTGACAACTACACGAAATTATAAAACGAGGTAAGCTCGAAAAGAGAATACACAGAAACGAAATTGTGGCTAAAGCAATTCAACGTCCAAGAATTGCAGAGTCAAGGATATCAAGTACCAAGTATTAATATTATGGCTGTCTCAGACTTGCCGCTCTCCATAACAGAGCCAAAACCTCACACAAGTTACGATTATTTTGCTCACAAATATGAACATAAAACAGTGGTTGAGTTCAAAGAAGATCTAAAGGCTATCGATTCGAGTTTACGTACAATGGGAAGCCCCAAGAGAAGACGGAAGCAAAATTGTCGACACAAGAAGGCGAAGTTTCCTTCAAAGTCCATCGTGCCTGACTTGCAGGACATAAACGAAACTGAAGAACTAAACTCGTTTGAGGGCGAAGATAAAAAAAGAGACTTACCTACAATCCACAAGGAAAGAGCAATTACATCTGGTAACTTTATTAAGCTGGAAGGACGTAGTTTTCGACACAAAAAGTTCCATAAGAAGGATTGAGTTTCAGTGCAGCAAAACCTAATTAAAGCTTCAAGAATTGCCCCAGTTGCTGCAGTTGCACAGTCTTGTCGCGGTAGAAAAGCGACCAATACTGTTGAACCAAGTCTCTAGTGTATAAAAACGACTTGACTGGGATCGTACATCGAATCAAGGGAGCAGGGATAATCTTAACTCTTGTAACCCACATTTGCGCGGGCAAAATCTATCGCCACGTCTTCTACATATTGGATACTGGTAAATAAGCTGAATATTCAACGGACTATTCAACCTATAGCGAGAAAGTGTTAATATAAGGAGTCAAACGTGATCTAACAGTGAGTCGCTAAACTAATGTAAATCCAGAGAGATATTTATTCCAAAAATGGTAAATGAATATCTTCAAATTGTTTTGCAAATTCTCCGGTTTCAGCACAGCTGCTTGTGGCTTGATCGCTGAAGCGCTACACTAGAACATTTTTCCTCGTTCCATAATGCCAGTTCCCTATTGCTTGCTTCAAAAGCTTCCAATATCACCCTCATAATTATACGTTTCTAAAGTTTGCCGATGCCTAATGAGAAATTAATTTAATTGATCCTAATGCAAACCGAAATTGATTTGCAATTCATGTAGCCGACAATATCACTAGGAGAAAAGGATTTGCATGAATACGACTCGTCGTTTCAATAGAATCGCGTTCAATAGCGAACGTATTGTCCAATTTGTATAGACTTGAGGGCGCAGTAGTTAACCGTGATTAAAGATCAGACCAGAGATGCTGTACCAAGGAAACGAATGTAAAAATATACAAAGATTTAATAAAGAGGTCAATAATTTTTGATCAGTCTTTATATAGATTTTATTGTAGATTCTTATTTGTTTCTCTATTCTAGTAAGTACTTTGCTCCATTTGAGATCTAAAAATGCTTTTTGTGGAGTTGGCATCTTATTGTAACCATTGTATTGGATATCTTTTAGTTTGTGCTTGGCTGTGCCTTCTAGATTGTTCTTTTTCTGTCGGCAGTTTCCGGCAAAAAAGGAATTCAAAGAAAAACTACTGCATGGGGTATGAAACCTCCGTATCAACAGAATCATTAATTCTGAATTTAGTTAGATTTGAATTCTTCTTTTTACACCATTTTAGCAGTATTTGGCGTTAAAATTAGGAATATTGAAAGAAACTGGAATGCACAATTACACTTGTTTAACATGTTGCTTTATTCCAGCCATTGTCAAATGGTCGGGCACTTTGTTTACTTGATTAAAGCAACTACTGCTAACTTCAGCAATAAACTAGAAAATGCCATACAGCTAATAATACCGAACTTTAAGAATTTACTATGATATATATCTTCTGGCTCGGTTAAGATTGTCAATAGCGAAACATCTTTATTATTTTAAGACCCTGTAATATGGAATCATGTTGCATAAGCTTTAGACGAGGGTTCGTTTCATGAACACATCTTTTCCAGATAATGGCCATTTTTTATCATCTTTTTTCTCTTAAAGGCTAACAAAACATTTCACCAAGAGATTTGTAGTCATTAGAATAGTCTCTTTTATTATATTTCCAAAGCAAAAGCTCATAAATACAAACAGAAGCCATGGGAATCAGTAGCTTACACGTCCAACAAGCTGAAGGTGGCACCTACACTCAGGAATGTTTCGCATCAGCTCAAAATGTCATAATTTCGTCTTCAGATATATTTAAGGTATTTCCCCAATAAAAAGCTCTATGTTCTTAACGCGTTTTTCAAAAATTTATTTTCGAAGTCAGCAAAATTTGTCTCGCAAAGTTTTGTATTCGAATCCTGTTGAATCATATTTAATCTAAGTCAGCTTTTGTATTCTTCAAAAATCGCTTGTTTTTAAAATGTGTAGAGTGGTAATGAAGAGTGTCATGTTTTAGTGAAACCTTTTTGTATTTCTTATGTACTTTTATTTATATTATAAAACGCTAGGATTGGCATACTAAAAGATGGCTACCACAAATGGCATTGCAGTAAATTAAGTTTCAATTGATGTGAAATGTTACGGATGAAATACCGTCCAGTGCCACTAAAACTAAAAGGGATGTCATCAGTGTTGCTTGTCGCTTTTTCGGCACAAAATACTAAAATAATGTTGATATTTTTTCCTGGGGCTCATAACCTGATAGCTATGATCATGATGTTGAACAATTAGGCTAAATCTCACTGTGCTGTTGCGTTTGTACAATCGGTATCTCAGTTTTGGATAAAGAGGATATGATCCGTTCACAACCCGATAGCAATGATGTTGTACACTGATGGATAAGGCTTTCTAACTTTGCTAGCCATGCAGTCATATGTTCCATGTATCGCTCAGGGATGAAAATCCCCTCACAACCCTCAGCTCATGATGATGCTCAATGTGGTTAAGGCTTTCTAACTTTGCTAGCCATGCAGTATATATGTACCATGTATCGCTCAGGGATAAAAATCCCCTCTCAACCCTCGTGTATGATGATGCTCAGTGTGGTTAAGGCTTTCTGTGACTGTGCTAGCCATTCAGTATATATGTACCTTGTATCGCTTATGGATAAAAATCCTTTATCAACCCCTATGATATTACTCAATATGGTTATTTATTAAAGACTTTCTAACTCTCAATAACCTACTTTTCATTCAGTACATATATAACAACCATCGGCTCTGGGAGAAAAGTACGGTAAAAAAACCCAGATAGCTTCGTTGTTGCGAAAGGTATATGGCTTTCTAACTGTGCACCCAATTTAGTATATAAAACAT